CCTATAAGATATAGATACGTTCCAATTTATTAGGAATCCGATTTCTTACAAGTCGTTCCAATCACAGCCCGACACGTGTCAAGTTTACGGACTACGGCTGATTGAAAGGTTTTCTTCCATAAAATTAATCGATTCTACACTAATCCGACTCAACATTTCCAAAATACGTATATTTTTTCGTAGTTTTATAGGAATCGTAATTATAGGGACCGTAATTATAGGGGGGTCGACTGTACTCAATAAACAATAAATTTTCAAATCGTCGAAAGGCTTTATTACAAAACAAATTTATGATACAATACAAGAAAAGTTGTACACAATAGTTGTGTTAAAAAACAATTAACAAAAATAATTGAATTGTTAACAACATGAACAATATATAATTATAATGCATATATAACAAAAATGGAAAAACAAAAAAATAATAGGTTTTAAAACACCTCAATCGGAGTCGTTTCGCTTTCCGACGACTGTTTGTCATAGTCTGCAACGACCGACTAATATTAGTACGATTCGTAATAATATTAGTCGTCGCCAGAGAGCACTATAAAGTAGAGAAAAATCTGATAATTTAAATTTCTCAAAAAATAAACTAAAAAATTTGAAAAGTCGCTACTTTTAGCTGATTTGTCTGCAGTCGCCGCTACCTTCTTCTAAAAGTCGCTATTGTGGCGACAAGTCGCCACAGTTGGGAACACTGTATAAAGTGAAAATCCGGATTTCTTTCTGTCACGGTATGCCAAAAACGGCCACTAGGGGCGCCCTAGCTGTTATTTAAATTAACAATAAATTCAGTATATTATTATTTGATGCGGTTTTTTGCATTTTTTGCTGCGTTTTAGTAGGGTACGCCATGAGAAATTCAGTATATTATTATTTTTATTTGTAATAGGAATTTATTATTTCTACCACGGAATGACACCGCTGCTGCTAGAACGCCCATTAGGGGGCGACCCGGGCTACTAGAGGGAAGAATATAAGCCCCAACCACTTTACCTAATTTCTAAGCGGAGTGATTCGGAGAAAAAGCCAATAGGCTAGAGTCTCCATATTGATAAGACAAGAAAGAAAGAATATAAAGATTAGAAGTACGAAAAAATCTAATAATCTTAATCTTAATCTTTGTTGTTGTTTTTGCCCAGGCAATGCTGGCTCATCTGCTGGTCTAATCATACAAATTATTACCAAGTTCTAGCTTGATAGAACCAATTTAACTATCATTTGATTTTTATAAAAATAATAAAGAAATATAGTAAAAAATATTTATTTGAATAATACAATAACAACAACAAAAGATAAAGTTTTCTTATGTATATTTATTATAGCTTGACAACATTTTTTACTTACCATTATTAATTTATGAAAGTTTATTTTACATTGGATTCTAAATTTAAAATTAAATTTCATAAAATATTAATTATTTCAAATCGATTCTATAATATTTATATTCCTTTAAGAATCATCTTCAATTTTACTCATAATATAGAATATTTAAATTTTATCATAATTACTTCATTATAAACTATAAATAAATAAATGCTTTGAGTTTATAATACTCCTTTCTTTTAAAATGAGATTTTTAGGAAAAATTTGATATTAATTGGAAATAAATATGTTTTAAAGACTTTACTAAAGAGTAAAAATGCTAATAATATATTTTGAAGCTATATAGTACATACAGTACGTGTGTGTATGTGTGTGTGTGTGTAACAAAATAATAAAACTATTTTATTATTTACTTCACCTCATATCCAAGATTTCCACTTGATGACAAACAAGATGCATTCCAACTGATGGACATTTTGTTGTTTTCTTGAGATAATTTTGCAGCAAGATTTTTAGGAGGAGCAAGATTATCAGATTCTGTTCTCACAAAATAAAATCCTCCAGAGGGACCAATTCCAAATGGACCAATAACTCTAACTTCAAGTGAATACATTTCACAAGGATTCAAACCAGATAAAGTGAAATTTGTCAATGACGTATTTCCAACAAGTACTAAATATTTAAAACAGAAATTTAACAAAAGGTTTTATAACTCATATAACAATAATATATTATTAACAAATACATAATATTTATATTTAATATATTGTTATTGTTAAAAATTATCTACTAAAATTTGAAGTTAAACATCTTAAAATATATTACATGAAAACTAAGTTATTATAAAATGTCATTCCATTTTTTAAACTACTTTCAGATTTTAAAATGTAATTATTTATTCCAATTAATTTTGCATGTTTCAAAAATAAAATTAAACAATAAAATTAGTTAAAATTAAATAATTATAAGTTTTTAATAAAAACTCAATAACATAACAACAAACTTTTCTTTCTGAAACACATTTTTATACATCTAAGTCTTTTTAGATTTATAAGAAAAAATGTATGCACAAATCTATTCTCAATATTCCCTTATGATAAGTTATCAGATTATATCAAAGATTAATTTGCCATAATATCATCATCACACTCTATTGAAAAATCTTACCAAGTGGTGTAATAAATTGAAATGTAATGAATCAACCCATGGACCATAAATTTTAATTTACTGGCAAACAACCTTATTAACGTCTTTCTAAATGTGGATATTACTAACACAAAGAAGTCTATATCCTTCTAAACTTCCCCATCCAGTATCAACCATCTTTTTACCATCCTCAATTATTAATCTGAAAACATTATTTATACAACTTTGGCTGTACTCTTATGCATCATCTCTGGTAAATATTTTTAACCACCCAAGTACCATCATACACACAGGAAAACCCCTCTTAACGCAACTTTTGATATGTACAAATTATATTAACTGCTTTAAGCAGGTAATTAAGCAGGTGGAGTATTATTTTTCAAGCAAACTTCATACACTTGTATCATAATCAATGATATTTAAATGTTACTTCAAACATTTTTTTTTTGTTTTTTAAATAATAAAAAAGTAGTTAAGATATAAAAGTGATAGATGTTGCATAATCTAACATAATTCTTTTCAAATGTCCAGGAAAAAAAAAGAATCATAGTGAAGTGTTGAAAATCCAGACATCAAAAATTCAGATTTGGCCACTGAAAAATTAATATTAACCTTTTTAATAGTAACTTCATTGTCAATGTTCTTTTGGCCTCACCCTATTGATGTTTTAATAGTCACTTAGAATTCAGAATTTTTTCATTTTAAAATTATGATTAATATACTTTTTATTTAGATACAGTGATTCTGTAAATCACATTTTGAATCTTTTTTTAATTAATTAAGCACTCTTACATTCCTTGTGAAATACTGGCTTAAATTCAAGTTTAGGTCTTCTATTTAGAGTTTACAGTACTTAAAATGCTAATTTACATGTATATTCAAAAATCCAGATAAGGTCTAGCTCCAATTAGTCTAGTTTTTCAACACTTCACTGGTAAGACACCAAAATTATTTATTCCAAATATAGTATATATTTTGTAATAAATCTTTAGTGTACATATCTTTAGCAGATATGTATACTAAAGATGGCCTGAACTAAGGCCAAAAACATTTCATAGTAATTTTGGTGTCATTAACCAAGCAGTTTTTGTTTATTAAATATTATGGTATACTTACAAAAATAGCATTTTTTAAAATTGAACTTAATAAAAGTTAAAAATTTCAGTTAANCGTGTTTTTTTTAAATAAAACATCTTGCACCCTGTGACAATACAATAATAGATTTTAAAATCTTTATATTATCTAATAATTGACTATTCTAAAAATATGCAGATATTTATTATTATTAAGGCTTAATGAACTTGTCAAGTTCCATGGATAGTGTAATTAATAGTTACCATCTATTCATAAAATTTGATTATTTTATACTTTAATCAATTCTTCCTCAATAATCTATAAGTAATAAAAAAGAAGAACAAATGAAGCTATTATTGCTAAAGCTTTATAAATTTATTTAAGTTTTCATCAATAAGAACAATTAAATTAGTTTCTATGTAAATTGAAGCTGAACCTAAAAAACAATCTGTTTGCTACATTTTGCAGAAATAAAAATCAAACCGAAACAAATTGTTTTATAAAGAATGAACTTTTATATCTTTATCATTTTAACTAACTCTTAACCAACATCTAGCATTTCCTTCAATTATGAATTTGGGAAACAAACTATAGTGCAGTTAGTAATATCTGTTACTATAAAAAAAAAACCACAAATAATTTCATATCACACTACAATCATTGTAGATATCTTAAAATATTCTTTATCATCTTTATTATATATTGTTGAAACTAATATCTCAAATACTATAGTAGAGATAACAGACTTATCACACTGCTACTGGTAACATCAAAATGTCACTTCTTTCATTAGAATGCAACTTTATTACTGGTATGCATTTTGGTACACCAGCCATACATAAAAATATATAGACATCTACAACAAAATATATTATGTTTATATATAATTGAAATAACTCAAAAAGTTTAAAACTTCATTACAAAAAAATTTCTCAAAACAAACCTGTTGTAGAACAAATTTGCAGAGAAATTGACATTAATTACAATCTACAATTTAAAACACAGCTAATATAATTTAAAAAATCTATATATATATATATATATATTACCGGTTTACAAACTGTCCTGTTCAAGATTTATTTCCACCCATACTGTACAGTACTATGAGGATTACATTATAAATAGGACTAAATTAATATAATTTAAGTCCCATTACAAACATTTTAATTATATATCAGCAGTTTAAAAAAAAATAAATGCCATATTTAAAATATTTTATGTTTTCAATTTCTCATTTCCTCTCTAAAATTTGGCAGTTTTACAAATTACAAAACACTTGTAATTTTAACTTATAATGAACAATATACCTTAAAATAAATTGACAATTTGCATTGAAATAATAAATCAAATTTATTACTTACGAATGGTTTTTCAATTCAGAAGGCATTTCTGGCTCTTTCCAATCTATGAAGAGACTTCCATTTTGTTCAAGTATAACTTTCACTTGCTGTGGGATAGGAATTTCAGGTGCAGTAAAGGAAATATTTGTAAAATGAGAGCCAGAGGCATTAGTTCTCACTTTAATCAAATATTCTGCTCCTAAGTGAATAGAAGCATTTACACCCAAATGATTACTGTTTGAAGTTACATATAATTTTTCTGTTTTGTTGGTGATTAGATCTTTTATGATAACCTGTATGAAAAAAATAAGAATATATATATATATTAATAATAATTATATTTATTTGTTTTAAGGAAGTTTGATCTATTGAGCAGATGCTCAATAAATCAAACTTCCTTAACTCAATTTTTATTTTTAACCCAACTTAATGCTCATAGACTCAGTGTATTGTGTTTCTATAAGTTGTAGTAGTTCTATTCTGTTTCAAAATTTACATTCTAAATTCAACTTGGAATATTTTCTATTTTAAAAATATAGAGAATATTCAAAGTTGAATTATAAGCAATTCTAATTAAAAAAAAGTCTTTACAAACAATACAAAGGTATTTAACTACACAAACAGTATAGTTAAATACCTTCAGAGGAAAGTATTTAATTATACCGAATGATACTAATAATCAAATAATAGAGTTTGATTAACTATTGAGCTAGAACTTGGCTATTAAGTTATACAGATTTTATATAATTTGGATTAAAGATAGGTTACAGTTATCTTGTATTAAATTTAATGCAGTAAAATCTGTCTAAAACAGAAAAAATTCTTTAGTACAGATTTTTTTTTTTTTTGTTTGTTTGTTAAATTTTACTATAAGCCAAAAACCTGTCCAATGCAGAAATGGAAGAAGTTCTTCAATACAAAGAATATAACTTAGATAAAGCAGAAACTTAAGATTTCATTTGTAGACAAATAAGTAAAATCACCTTCAAGTATAATGATCACTGCAGAGCATAACAAACTGTATACTGAAAACAATTTCAAACCTTGGGCACATTTGTAAAGTCGAACGAGTTAAACGAGAATGACGTCATCGTTATTCTTATTTCGTTAGACTTTTCGAATGATTCATTTAGAACTAAATGGCTGTTTCTAAAATCAAAGATACAAATGTTGCTAGTACAGCCTTATCCGAAATATTTTTCTTAGATTGCCTCGGGTGGACAGTTACTTCAATCATTTCATCTTTTAATTCACAATTTAAACACTCGAGTAGATTTATAAACATCGATATCGTCGGGCGCCATTTTCTTAACGAAGTAAACTAACTCTTTCCTTTGTGAACTTCGTTAGAATTTCGTTCGAAACATCATCACCGCAGAGCATGCGCACTGAGCGAGACTACTATTATTCGAACAATTCGTTACTAACGCGTTTAACTCGGTTGACTTTACAAACATACCCCTTGTCAAAGAAACAGGTCACTTGACAAAGGCTCCATGTCTATATGTTCTTATATTAGAATTAACCAGGGGCAGAGTCAAATGACTTTCTGAGAAAACAGTTCTTGACAACAAGCAACAAATGTAATTGTGAAAAACAATGAGAATGAAGTAACATAATACTGTTAATGTGCCTTGTGTGGAGTGGTTAGTAACACTTGTACTGAGTATTCAAGAACAAGTTCATTAACATATTGATAATATAATAATCCAACAATCATCTAAATATTTGGGCTATAATCAAGCAAGTAAAACGGCAAGGCTGTGTTTGGGACAAGACTATGTCTCGGAGACTCACTACTAAGCGGAATCACTTTGATGCTCAAGGTGGGTCTTGTTCTCATGCTCCAATCTTCTTTGGTATTGCTGATTTTAGGCGCAATTGTTCAAACTTCGCCAGCCACAACCAAGAGGTGCCCAGGATGCATTTTCGATGAAATTAACCTATCCAATTTCAAAATTTCTCTCTGTTGTGTGTCAGCTTGGGTTGAATTTTTGTCGATGAGTAACAAAAATTTCCCATTATTGAAAAAAATAATCGTGACTATTGTATCGTCTGAAATTATTTTTTAATTTTGTACAAACAATATACGGTTTAACCCGATTAAAATGTCATCGGATGTAACGACCCTAATATAATGTCAACCCTAATATAACATCAAATTTTTATCGATCCCATGATTTTACTATACTAGTTAATGTTAAAAACGACATAAAACTGTTTTAACATCTTATGTGAAGCACTCCCAAATTTACAAAATTAGATTACAAATTTTATTTAACATAGAAGAAACTATGTGTTCTGTCCTATGGTCAGAGTTCACTTCTTAGAATGACTGTGGGTGGTACTCTCACCCACCTGACTTTGGTGGGGGGAGGTAGCTGTTTTGCCTGTTTGTAGAAGGTCACCATTTTGTATTTTACTTTACCTTGGTTCTCGATTCCAACTACCCACAAGTCTGGATGTTTTTATGCACAAATGATTTGGGCACCTAATACTCTGTGCCAAATAACTCTTGACATGTACTCCTTCATACCTCTATGCTGGTAACATAAAACAGCAGTATGATTTTATAAACAAGACATACTCTTGTCAATAATTAATACAATACAAATAAATTTGGTACTAGAGGTAAGCATTAGGTGCCATATGTAACTGTAGAAGATTATATCAAAATTTAAATACTTTTGGAAGCAAAGACTGGCTTGGGGTCTGGGTGGCGCAATTGGTAGTGCACTGCATGGCAAGCAGAGGCTGTGGGTTCAAGCCAGGTCAGTTATTTTCTTCCAGAAGGTTCTAAATTATTTATTAAATTATTAAAATTGTAATTATTAATTTAGATAAGAGATGGCACCTAACACTTACCTCTAGTACCAAATTTATTTGTATTAATTATTTGATTATAGCCCGAATATTTAGGCGATCGTTAGATTATTATATTAACTCATCAGGCTTTGAGATGTGTATTATATATTGATAATTACAAACATTGAAGTAAATGATTAATTGGAGCATTAAAATTCCTTGAGAGTCTATCACAGAGTAACATGTTCTCTGTATTTCTGTAGTGCAATTAGAATTTCCAATGGCAGAACCAAGCAAACTGATTCGAATACAAAGACAGTTCTTGGTAATCAAACTAGCTTGTTTGCTGTCATATGAACTCATGAGGGCATCTGAGAACTATTTGAATACCCAGCAAAAATTCTTGAGACAATGAAAACTTTTTACAATCAAACAGTTCTCAATTTTTGCATTCAAATATTTCCATCTTTAATTGGAATCACTTTAGAATTAAGTCTAATAATAAAATTTATGTATTTAAAATTTACTATTAAAAAATGTAGTTGTGTAACAATTAACTGATGTAATTTAAAGATTACAAAAAATGTATTAAAACCTGTTCAAAAATAAACCTGCCAAAATGGAAAAAATAATTTGGCAGGGGTGCAGAATATGTCTGATCATGGAAAATGAGGTTCTGAAGAAATTAAAGCAGTCCTGGGGAAATCTGTGCTATAAAAAATAATATATGGCAATAGCTACAAAAAATATTGCAATAAAATAGATTGGAGTCTCAGATAAGCTTATAGATGTTTATTGAGAAATTTGTCAAAATGAAAAAACCCCATGTTTTAACAGTGAAATCAGAATGTTGTTTAGTTTATTTCTAATCAATTTGATCACTTGTTGTATCACTGCCTATTTACATGGTTATGTTCTTGAAAGAACAAGGACAAGTTTATCTCAATTACTAAATCATGGTTTCAATTTTTATGATAAACCTGAAAAAGAAAATCTGTTTTTATTTCAAAATTCTTTTCAACACTATTTATTGGTAAAATTTTGTGTTGGTTCAAATGAAAACAAAATATTCATTTGTTCACAATACGGGAAATTTGCAAATTAATATACTGCAATGTAATCAACATATATGTCAGGTTTATAATTGTACGTGCTACCTTATGATGATAGCACATACTTAAATTATTCTTTTAATTTAAAAAAGTTTTACATTAATTTATTAGTTTAGCATTGCAAGTCAAATTATGTGATAGGCTTATTTAATTTGAATTTTCCAAACTAATAGTAATAATTCTTAACTGGTTCATAAATGGTTCTTTTTCTTTGCATGCTAATGAGCAATAATTTTTGGGGAAATTTTGAGCCCTGAAAATATTCTGCACTCAAATAATTTAGTACAGTGTAATTACAGTAAAACCTTTATAAATCAAAAGGTTTATACGGGTTTTATTGTAATTGGAAATAAATCAATTAATTAATTTAGACTATTCTGGAAAAGATTCACCTGGAGAACTTGAACTGCAAATTCTTATCATTCAGATGCTTTCCCAATTATGCCAACAGGACCTTTATCCAATCTTTGCTTCCAGAACAATTAATTTAAAAAATCTACATATATAAAGCTGAAAAACTGGATTCTTTCTTTCTGTCACTGTATGCCAAAAACGGCCACTAAAGGCACCCCTATTACTTAAATTAATAATAAATTCAGTATATTATTATTTCACGCAGTTTTTTTGCGTTTTAGTAGGGTATGCCATGAGAAATTCAGATTATTATTATTATTTTTATTTGTAATAGGAATTTATTATTTATACCACGGAATGACACTGCTGCTGCTAGAATACCCACTAGGGGGCATCCTGGGCTACCAGAATAGAAGGATTCAAAGTACGAAAAAATCTAATAATCTTAATCTTTGTTGTTGTTTTTGCCCAGGCAATGCTGGGCTCATCTGCTGGTCTAATCATACAAATTATTACCAAGTTCTAGCTTGATAGAACCAATTTAACTATCATTTGATTTTTATAAAAATAATAAAGAAATATAGTAAAAAATATTTATTTGAATAATACAATAACAACAACAAAAGATAAAGTTTTCTTATGTATATTTATTATAGCTTGACAACATTTTTTACTTACCATTATTAATTTATGAAAGTTTATTTTACATTGGATTCTAAATTTAAAATTAAATTTCATAAAATATTAATTATTTCAAATCGATTCTATAATATTTATATTCCTTTAAGAATCATCTTCAATTTTACTCATAATATAGAATATTTAAATTTTATCATAATTACTTCATTATAAACTATAAATAAATAAATGCTTTGAGTTTATAATACTCCTTTCTTTTAAAATGAGATTTTTAGGAAAAATTTGATATTAATTGGAAATAAATATGTTTTAAAGACTTTACTAAAGAGTAAAAATGCTAATAATATATTTTGAAGCTATATAGTACATACAGTACGTGTGTGTATGTGTGTGTGTGTGTAACAAAATAATAAAACTATTTTATTATTTACTTCACCTCATATCCAAGATTTCCACTTGATGACAAACAAGATGCATTCCAACTGATGGACATTTTGTTGTTTTCTTGAGATAATTTTGCAGCAAGATTTTTAGGAGGAGCAAGATTATCAGATTCTGTTCTCACAAAATAAAATCCTCCAGAGGGACCAATTCCAAATGGACCAATAACTCTAACTTCAAGTGAATACATTTCACAAGGATTCAAACCAGATAAAGTGAAATTTGTCAATGACGTATTTCCAACAAGTACTAAATATTTAAAACAGAAATTTAACAAAAGGTTTTATAACTCATATAACAATAATATATTATTAACAAATACATAATATTTATATTTAATATATTGTTATTGTTAAAAATTATCTACTAAAATTTGAAGTTAAACATCTTAAAATATATTACATGAAAACTAAGTTATTATAAAATGTCATTCCATTTTTTAAACTACTTTCAGATTTTAAAATGTAATTATTTATTCCAATTAATTTTGCATGTTTCAAAAATAAAATTAAACAATAAAATTAGTTAAAATTAAATAATTATAAGTTTTTAATAAAAACTCAATAACATAACAACAAACTTTTCTTTCTGAAACACATTTTTATACATCTAAGTCTTTTTAGATTTATAAGAAAAAATGTATGCACAAATCTATTCTCAATATTCCCTTATGATAAGTTATCAGATTATATCAAAGATTAATTTGCCATAATATCATCATCACACTCTATTGAAAAATCTTACCAAGTGGTGTAATAAATTGAAATGTAATGAATCAACCCATGGACCATAAATTTTAATTTACTGGCAAACAACCTTATTAACGTCTTTCTAAATGTGGATATTACTAACACAAAGAAGTCTATATCCTTCTAAACTTCCCCATCCAGTATCAACCATCTTTTTACCATCCTCAATTATTAATCTGAAAACATTATTTATACAACTTTGGCTGTACTCTTATGCATCATCTCTGGTAAATATTTTTAACCACCCAAGTACCATCATACACACAGGAAAACCCCTCTTAACGCAACTTTTGATATGTACAAATTATATTAACTGCTTTAAGCAGGTAATTAAGCAGGTGGAGTATTATTTTTCAAGCAAACTTCATACACTTGTATCATAATCAATGATATTTAAATGTTACTTCAAACATTTTTTTTTTGTTTTTTAAATAATAAAAAAGTAGTTAAGATATAAAAGTGATAGATGTTGCATAATCTAACATAATTCTTTTCAAATGTCCAGGAAAAAAAAAGAATCATAGTGAAGTGTTGAAAATCCAGACATCAAAAATTCAGATTTGGCCACTGAAAAATTAATATTAACCTTTTTAATAGTAACTTCATTGTCAATGTTCTTTTGGCCTCACCCTATTGATGTTTTAATAGTCACTTAGAATTCAGAATTTTTTCATTTTAAAATTATGATTAATATACTTTTTATTTAGATACAGTGATTCTGTAAATCACATTTTGAATCTTTTTTTAATTAATTAAGCACTCTTACATTCCTTGTGAAATACTGGCTTGAATTCAAGTTTAGGTCTTCTATTTAGAGTTTACAGTACTTAAAATGCTAATTTACATGTATATTCAAAAATCCAGATAAGGTCTAGCTCCAATTAGTCTAGTTTTTCAACACTTCACTGGTAAGACACCAAAATTATTTATTCCAAATATAGTATATATTTTGTAATAAATCTTTAGTGTACATATCTTTAGCAGATATGTATACTAAAGATGGCCTGAACTAAGGCCAAAAACATTTCATAGTAATTTTGGTGTCATTAACCAAGCAGTTTTTGTTTATTAAATATTATGGTATACTTACAAAAATAGCATTTTTTAAAATTGAACTTAATAAAAGTTAAAAATTTCAGTTAACAAATAAAAAGTTTATAAAAAATTATTACCTAATGTATTAAAAGATTTTTGAAACATGAATATTCCATAAATCCATTTATTACTTCTTTTATCATTGATGGAATCCCATTGAAGAATGACTTTAGTTCCTTTCACTATACTCTTGATGTTTGACACAGAACTGAGAGGCTTTCCTATCAAATACATTTGTAAGTAATATAAATTTTAAATAAATTTTACATTTATACTATAACAATGTTTTAAACAGTTCTTTAATTATTTCAAGTTTATTAATTATGTATGAATAAAATTCATTATTATTTTTTATTTATTGTAAACCAAAAAAATTTGATAGCATAATTATTAAAAAAACTTGAGTAAAAGTGGTATTTGTTTTTTAGATCAATTTTAATAAATTTTTCATATATTTATGTTGCACAGAATTATTATTAAATCAAAAGTTTTATAAATAATAATTAAAACTAAATTTATTAATCATATTAATTTTCAGAAGAAAATTAATTAAGAAGAATATATGTGCAGACAGTCCATATCTTAACAATGGAGTTTTGTTCTGGCCTCCTTTGTAAGTCAAACTAAAATTAATAATGATAATATGATACAATTCTATAAGGCCACATATACATTGACAGAGCTGTGGAGTATCCCACCATGTATATTTATATTTTAGTCTGTATAATCTTATGCTATCTATAATTTCCTCTTCTACTAAAAAGAGAAAAAACTGCACTATTTTTCCTCTTTTCTGTCTCTTCTGACCTATTTGCGCTTTCTGGCGAGTTTTGGGCTAAAAAGAAAAAACAACCGACAAGGCAGCATAGGAGGACAGGACTTTCTTTTTTTCATTCTGAGGGAAGCGAGTGAGAAGGAACGACGTGAGGTGGAGGAGGGAAGGAATCCATGTGGTTAAGGAGCGTATGTCAGGAGCTTGCCCAATTTGTCGTGCAGATAAGAGTGACTTTCTTCTACTTTCACTTTTCTATCTTTACTCCTAACATAGATTATAGTCATATTTTAGATATAGTTAATTATAAGTAATATTATAATACGGCCTCAGGACTCGCACGTGCAATCGGGTGTACAAGTTGTGATAAGAATAGAAAAAGAGGAATGATTCTTTTGTACCACGGACGGGCTCGCGATTATGTATTAAAGTTAGATTGTAAATAGATGACTTCATCTATCTTTATTGAAAATTGTATTAATTCGTGGTGTCGTCTTGTACATTACGGTTGTTCATTAACCCATCACACCACAGAGCATATGTATGTTAATTGTAATCAGTTGCTATGTGTAAGTGCTTCAAATCAACATTTAATATTTTAATTAATTATGACAATTTATTAACAAAAATTCATGGATACCATGGGGACTACCATGTTCAAAAGAATCAAAAATCATAGTGAGGGAGTATTGTAATCTGTGTGTGGAATTTATTTTATTGTTGATTTTTATTTATTTAATTTATTAAAAATTCAACTTAGCCTTATAAAATTGAAATTAGAATGATAATCCTGAACCAACCAGCTCTGCAGAGAGTTTTATTTTCAATTTTTGAGTACAAGTGATGCATACTCAAATTAATAAAAGTATGCTTATCAATTATCGTTAAATAGAACATACTTATTGTCCATTATAGTATTATTTTTAACATTTAACTGTGGTACTATGCTATTTTTTGAGTCAAAACAATCACTTACTATAAATTCAAGTGATTGTTTGGACTCAAATAAAATTTTTTATTTATTATGCTAATTTTGGCTGTTGTAAGTGCAGATGTTTGAAGTCAAGGACAGGGACTGATTGTATGCATATACAGTAGACAAAAAAATAAGCAAACACTGGTAAATTATATGTGTGTACTTAGTTTAATGCAAATAATAATTGCATTAAACTAAGTACACACACACAATTCTGCAAGCTAAGATAATATCATATAATTTTAATACAGTTGGATAGAACTTTTATTGGTATAAATTTTAGTTGTTGAGTTTGTTTATATTGACTTACAGGGGTTGGTCAAAATAACTAACTCCAATGAAAGTTCACTTTTTGTTTATTAATAAGAGGTACAATTCCCTTTTACTGATAATACAGCTAAAATACATCAAAGAATAGACAAACAAACAATATTAATGTCAATTTTGTACCATTATTCAACCAATACTGATGCTAATTTCTTGACTGAAGTAGGTAATAGAAATTTGCAATTAACATTTTTTCAAGAATGCTTCACACAGGTTCAATAATATTCAATTCTGGTAATTAGCGTGGTTGTCAAAGTAAATGTTAAATTCAATGAGTGTATTCAATCTTGCTTTGAGGAACATGAAGCTTCTCAAACCAAGATTGAACACACCCATCAGTGTGGATAGGTGCATTGTCATTCCAAAAGATTGCATAGCCATCTGAAAACAAAGTTTGGATCATGGGTGGAGTCAGTCACTCAGAATAGCAGATATCTATTGGACCCGATGAGTTAAATAATATTGCTCCCCAAATCATACAGGAATCTTTGTCATACTTGACAGTGTGATTCACCCAGTGGTCTCCAAACACAAACATGACTGGAAGTGAAATTGCCTCATCAGATCATATCACATTTCCATGTCCCTGGAGTCCATGTTTTATAATCTTTGCACCACTGCACATGCACTGTTTGATGTTTTGTGCTGTCAACAAAGGTTTGGCTATTGCAGTCCCACCATTAATACTAGTGTATGTCAGATGGTTTTCACTGATACTTACATCCTAACATTTGCAGCCAACACTGCTACAGTTTTCTGTTTTCTCATTACTATTTAATGAAGAGCTATTCTGTCTTTTGCATGCAGCTTTGATTTTTGCCACAGTTGCTTCTGTCAGTAGATGTCTTGCCTATCTTTGCATAATGAGATATGATCAAGGGAACAGAAGATCTAACTACATCCATCAACTCAGCAACTCCAGTCACAGAAGCTCCTACTAGGTGTGCACCAACAATCATTCTCGTTTGGAAGTCTGGTAGGTCTGACATAATCATGCCCCCAAAACAGGCAAATAGCTTTTTCAACAGCAAAAGTAGTGAAGTTTATCAACAATAATATAAATTATTCAAATGAGAAAAAAAAGTGCTATCTGTTCTAGGTATCACTCTTTTTTTACCTGGAAAAGCTATCACCCACATGTTTCAGAACAGTTCAATTTGACTGTGCAAAATGGAAGGTGTTTGAATTATTTTGTCCAACCCCTGTATGTGGTTTAAAGCTAACATAAACTGAATGTTGATTATCTCTAAAGTGGATGAAAAAATTAATCAGATATTTTACCTTTTAAGCAGTTAAACTTTTATTTAATCATAAGGATACATTCTAATATTTTGTTGGACCTCCCTGACCTTTATCACAGCCCTGAGTCTTTTTGGTATTGGTAGTACCAACTTTCTAGTTATAATTTCACTGAGGTTGTTCCAGGCCTACAATAACACCTCTTTCATATCTTTCTTCTTGAATCTTTTGTCCTGAGCTGTCTAAAACGACCCATAGATGCACAATGGGATTCAAGTCATGACTGTGGGAAGCCATTCCAGAACAGTGACTTGATTTTTAACAAAAAATTATTTTGTTTTGCATTGTGGAAGTCATTACTTTGCTGAAAAATTAAATCATCCCCCAAGTCCATTTTTGCTGCAGAAACAAAGAGATCTGACAATACACTTGGACATTCATAATGCTGTCAATAAATTCAAACTTCCCAACACCCTTGGCTGCCACGAAGGTGGCAGATTCTTATATTAAGTGACTTTCTGTAAGTGACTTTCTTATATTAAGTGACAGTAAGCTGTTTTCCTTCCAGCTTACTGTCTCTTGGGAGTGCTACATCTATAATCCATATTTTGTTTTTTCTTATCATCAATATTATCATCTCTAGTGTTAAAGAAGGATAAATATCTGGCTCAATTTGAAAATCTCAGAGCAATTTTTCCTTCTCGTTTTCAACAATTTTTTTAAAAAATGTGATTGCACCAAGTCTTGCTACTCTGGAAGTCAAACTGAAAAGCATTTGACTCAATAATTATGGCACTAGTAGGCTACAGTGCAACTCTTGATCTTTTCAATGCTATAAAACATTTGGTAACTAAAATAATTAAATACATTTAAACTGACAGTATTACTTTCTGCCATTTTGCTAATGAAATTGAAACTATAGATGACTTCATTATCATTTTGATTTACTTGTTTCATTTTTTAAACTTTTCATTGTAGAAATTCACTTTATATTAATTAAAGATAACATCCATCCAAAAATAATATAACATCTAGATACAATTTAAAATATTATTATTGTTTAATAACTCTTTAAGTTAGAAAACAGTAGCAAAATTTCAATTTTTTTTTTTTAAACAGTAATTAGACAAATGAAGCAAAATTTCACTTTTCTATTAGATGGCCTGATGATTACAATTCACCAGATCTTTATCATATAAATAAGTTCATTATGTTTGCACAAGTATAATAAAAATTATTATTTTTGATATTTAAAACAGTTCGATTTCAAATGTTTCAGTTTTTCTGTTTAATTTATTTTATAATTACATTTATAATAAATTGATAATAGAAATAAAATGAAAGAAAAGGGAAAAATGGAATTTCTGACAAAATGCCTTCTAAACTGCATACAAGTTAAATTGACATGTTTTTAACAACTTCAGAAGTGCAAGGTATACAATGATGTGGATTATGTGATATTTTCATTTTAGCAATATCTTATGAGTTATATGTTAATGTGGATTATATACTAGAATTTACAATAAATGTAATTAATATACCTTCAAGTTATATATTTTTAAATTGTCTTAACATGTCTTTTTGATATCAAAGTCAATAAAAGCAGCATTTCCATTAATTGTAGTTTTATTTTCTTAACCCACTAAATATTTTCAATTGGTTATCATCATATGCATAGCTGAGTCTCAAAGTGATTACAATAAGCAAACTTCACTGTATATAAATTTAACTAAACATTTTACCTATAAATTTTGCTATTATATACAAACATTTTAAAATTTACAATAAATAAATTTATTAAAAACATAATTTCAAATAATGATAGATTAATTATTTTGTTACTTACCTAATGTTGTTCTTTCTATGCTTTTTACAGGTCCAGAAATATCATTTTTAAATGCAAATATTTTGAAAATGTAAGTTGTTCCAGGTGAAAGTAAATCAACTGAACAGAGAAAAGTAACTTTTTAATGTTTGGTTTATTATGAAAATTATATTTTTTTATATTAAAATACAGAATATTTTTGTTAACTCAAAAACAGACAGTACCTTTTACATTGTTAGATGTAGTATTTATCTGCTTCCAAGGCAAATAATCATTTTCATAATTTGGATGATACAATAGACAGTATTTATCAACTTTATCAAAATTGTTTTTCCAAGAAACAACAAGAGAATTAGCTGTTATATTTAAAACACTAAGATCTTCAATTGGACTAGATATATAATCCTTATCAAATTCCAAGTAGACTGGTGGAGAATTTCCACTTTCCAGATTACCAGATAAAGAAGTTACCTATAAAATATATTAATTACAATTAGATTATATAGAAACTATAAAAATAAAAAATTAAATATTCTAATTCTCCTAAAGTATATCAACAAAAATAATTTCTACTTTAAGCAGACTTCACTGTATATAAATTTAACTAAACATTTTACCTCATACATCATAATATATTAAATTTTGTTTATGATTTACAAAGTTTTAATAACAGAAAGTTAAAGTTAAATTATTCTTTTCACAAAAGTGCATCTGAATCAAGGATGCCTGCAGGATTTTACCTCAGAAAGTTAAGTATATATATATTTTTTTATATCAATTAATCAAATAAGTGACTAATAAAAACTCATGTTCCTTAAACAGGTTTCTATCTACTCATACAGAAACCTGTTTAAGTAGACAAAAACTCTGTACTATCTTCATCTAGCTGAATGAATAAATAATAAATATGTACAAAAAAACATTAAAANGGCTCATCTGCTGGTCTAATCATACAAATTATTACCAAGTTCTAGCTTGATAGAACCAATTTAACTATCATTTGATTTTTATAAAAATAATAAAGAAATATAGTAAAAAATATTTATTTGAATAATACAATAACAACAACAAAAGATAAAGTTTTCTTATGTATATTTATTATAGCTTGACAACATTTTTTACTTACCATTATTAATTTATGAAAGTTTATTTTACATTGGATTCTAAATTTAAAATTAAATTTCATAAAATATTAATTATTTCAAATCGATTCTATAATATTTATATTCCTTTAAGAATCATCTTCAATTTTACTCATAATATAGAATATTTAAATTTTATCATAATTACTTCATTATAAACTATAAATAAATAAATGCTTTGAGTTTATAATACTCCTTTCTTTTAAAATGAGATTTTTAGGAAAAATTTGATATTAATTGGAAATAAATATGTTTTAAAGACTTTACTAAAGAGTAAAAATGCTAATAATATATTTTGAAGCTATATAGTACATACAGTACGTGTGTGTATGTGTGTGTGTGTGTAACAAAATAATAAAACTATTTTATTATTTACTTCACCTCATATCCAAGATTTCCACTTGATGACAAACAAGATGCATTCCAACTGATGGACATTTTGTTGTTTTCTTGAGATAATTTTGCAGCAAGATTTTTAGGAGGAGCAAGATTATCAGATTCTGTTCTCACAAAATAAAATCCTCCAGAGGGACCAATTCCAAATGGACCAATAACTCTAACTTCAAGTGAATACATTTCACAAGGATTCAAACCAGATAAAGTGAAATTTGTCAATGACGTATTTCCAACAAGTACTAAATATTTAAAACAGAAATTTAACAAAAGGTTTTATAACTCATATAACAATAATATATTATTAACAAATACATAATATTTATATTTAATTTAAAAAAGTTTTACATTAATTTATTAGTTTAGCATTGCAAGTCAAATTATGTGATAGGCTTATTTAATTTGAATTTTCCAAACTAATAGTAATAATTCTTAACTGGTTCATAAATGGTTCTTTTTCTTTGCATGCTAATGAGCAATAATTTTTGGGGAAATTTTGAGCCCTGAAAATATTCTGCACTCAAATAATTTAGTACAGTGTAATTACAGTAAAACCTTTATAAATCAAAAGGTTTATACGGGTTTTATTGTAATTGGAAATAAATCAATTAATTAATTTAGACTATTCTGGAAAAGATTCACCTGGAGAACTTGAACTGCAAATTCTTATCATTCAGATGCTTTCCCAATTATGCCAACAGGACCTTTATCCAATCTTTGCTTCCAGAACAATTAATTTAAAAAATCTACATATATAAAGCTGAAAAACTGGATTCTTTCTTTCTGTCACTGTATGCCAAAAACGGCCACTAAAGGCACCCCTATTACTTAAATTAATAATAAATTCAGTATATTATTATTTCACGCAGTTTTTTTGCGTTTTAGTAGGGTATGCCATGAGAAATTCAGATTATTATTATTATTTTTATTTGTAATAGGAATTTATTATTTATACCACGGAATGACACTGCTGCTGCTAGAATACCCACTAGGGGGCATCCTGGGCTACCAGAATAGAAGGATTCAAAGTACGAAAAAATCTAATAATCTTAATCTTTGTTGTTGTTTTTGCCCAGGCAATGCTGGGCTCATCTGCTGGTCTAATCATACAAATTATTACCAAGTTCTAGCTTGATAGAACCAATTTAACTATCATTTGATTTTTATAAAAATAATAAAGAAATATAGTAAAAAATATTTATTTGAATAATACAATAACAACAACAAAAGATAAAGTTTTCTTATGTATATTTATTATAGCTTGACAACATTTTTTACTTACCATTATTAATTTATGAAAGTTTATTTTACATTGGATTCTAAATTTAAAATTAAATTTCATAAAATATTAATTATTTCAAATCGATTCTATAATATTTATATTCCTTTAAGAATCATCTTCAATTTTACTCATAATATAGAATATTTAAATTTTATCATAATTACTTCATTATAAACTATAAATAAATAAATGCTTTGAGTTTATAATACTCCTTTCTTTTAAAATGAGATTTTTAGGAAAAATTTGATATTAATTGGAAATAAATATGTTTTAAAGACTTTACTAAAGAGTAAAAATGCTAATAATATATTTTGAAGCTATATAGTACATACAGTACGTGTGTGTATGTGTGTGTGTGTGTAACAAAATAATAAAACTATTTTATTATTTACTTCACCTCATATCCAAGATTTCCACTTGATGACAAACAAGATGCATTCCAACTGATGGACATTTTGTTGTTTTCTTGAGATAATTTTGCAGCAAGATTTTTAGGAGGAGCAAGATTATCAGATTCTGTTCTCACAAAATAAAATCCTCCAGAGGGACCAATTCCAAATGGACCAATAACTCTAACTTCAAGTGAATACATTTCACAAGGATTCAAACCAGATAAAGTGAAATTTGTCAATGACGTATTTCCAACAAGTACTAAATATTTAAAACAGAAATTTAACAAAAGGTTTTATAACTCATATAACAATAATATATTATTAACAAATACATAATATTTATATTTAATATATTGTTATTGTTAAAAATTATCTACTAAAATTTGAAGTTAAACATCTTAAAATATATTACATGAAAACTAAGTTATTATAAAATGTCATTCCATTTTTTAAACTACTTTCAGATTTTAAAATGTAATTATTTATTCCAATTAATTTTGCATGTTTCAAAAATAAAATTAAACAATAAAATTAGTTAAAATTAAATAATTATAAGTTTTTAATAAAAACTCAATAACATAACAACAAACTTTTCTTTCTGAAACACATTTTTATACATCTAAGTCTTTTTAGATTTATAAGAAAAAATGTATGCACAAATCTATTCTCAATATTCCCTTATGATAAGTTATCAGATTATATCAAAGATTAATTTGCCATAATATCATCATCACACTCTATTGAAAAATCTTACCAAGTGGTGTAATAAATTGAAATGTAATGAATCAACCCATGGACCATAAATTTTAATTTACTGGCAAACAACCTTATTAACGTCTTTCTAAATGTGGATATTACTAACACAAAGAAGTCTATATCCTTCTAAACTTCCCCATCCAGTATCAACCATCTTTTTACCATCCTCAATTATTAATCTGAAAACATTATTTATACAACTTTGGCTGTACTCTTATGCATCATCTCTGGTAAATATTTTTAACCACCCAAGTACCATCATACACACAGGAAAACCCCTCTTAACGCAACTTTTGATATGTACAAATTATATTAACTGCTTTAAGCAGGTAATTAAGCAGGTGGAGTATTATTTTTCAAGCAAACTTCATACACTTGTATCATAATCAATGATATTTAAATGTTACTTCAAACATTTTTTTTTTGTTTTTTAAATAATAAAAAAGTAGTTAAGATATAAAAGTGATAGATGTTGCATAATCTAACATAATTCTTTTCAAATGTCCAGGAAAAAAAAAGAATCATAGTGAAGTGTTGAAAATCCAGACATCAAAAATTCAGATTTGGCCACTGAAAAATTAATATTAACCTTTTTAATAGTAACTTCATTGTCAATGTTCTTTTGGCCTCACCCTATTGATGTTTTAATAGTCACTTAGAATTCAGAATTTTTTCATTTTAAAATTATGATTAATATACTTTTTATTTAGATACAGTGATTCTGTAAATCACATTTTGAATCTTTTTTTAATTAATTAAGCACTCTTACATTCCTTGTGAAATACTGGCTTGAATTCAAGTTTAGGTCTTCTATTTAGAGTTTACAGTACTTAAAATGCTAATTTACATGTATATTCAAAAATCCAGATAAGGTCTAGCTCCAATTAGTCTAGTTTTTCAACACTTCACTGGTAAGACACCAAAATTATTTATTCCAAATATAGTATATATTTTGTAATAAATCTTTAGTGTACATATCTTTAGCAGATATGTATACTAAAGATGGCCTGAACTAAGGCCAAAAACATTTCATAGTAATTTTGGTGTCATTAACCAAGCAGTTTTTGTTTATTAAATATTATGGTATACTTACAAAAATAGCATTTTTTAAAATTGAACTTAATAAAAGTTAAAAATTTCAGTTAACAAATAAAAAGTTTATAAAAAATTATTACCTAATGTATTAAAAGATTTTTGAAACATGAATATTCCATAAATCCATTTATTACTTCTTTTATCATTGATGGAATCCCATTGAAGAATGACTTTAGTTCCTTTCACTATACTCTTGATGTTTGACACAGAACTGAGAGGCTTTCCTATCAAATACATTTGTAAGTAATATAAATTTTAAATAAATTTTACATTTATACTATAACAATGTTTTAAACAGTTCTTTAATTATTTCAAGTTTATTAATTATGTATGAATAAAATTCATTATTATTTTTTATTTATTGTAAACCAAAAAAATTTGATAGCATAATTATTAAAAAAACTTGAGTAAAAGTGGTATTTGTTTTTTAGATCAATTTTAATAAATTTTTCATATATTTATGTTGCACAGAATTATTATTAAATCAAAAGTTTTATAAATAATAATTAAAACTAAATTTATTAATCATATTAATTTTCAGAAGAAAATTAATTAAGAAGAATATATGTGCAGACAGTCCATATCTTAACAATGGAGTTTTGTTCTGGCCTCCTTTGTAAGTCAAACTAAAATTAATAATGATAATATGATACAATTCTATAAGGCCACATATACATTGACAGAGCTGTGGAGTATCCCACCATGTATATTTATATTTTAGTCTGTATAATCTTATGCTATCTATAATTTCCTCTTCTACTAAAAAGAGAAAAAACTGCACTATTTTTCCTCTTTTCTGTCTCTTCTGACCTATTTGCGCTTTCTGGCGAGTTTTGGGCTAAAAAGAAAAAACAACCGACAAGGCAGCATAGGAGGACAGGACTTTCTTTTTTTCATTCTGAGGGAAGCGAGTGAGAAGGAACGACGTGAGGTGGAGGAGGGAAGGAATCCATGTGGTTAAGGAGCGTATGTCAGGAGCTTGCCCAATTTGTCGTGCAGATAAGAGTGACTTTCTTCTACTTTCACTTTTCTATCTTTACTCCTAACATAGATTATAGTAGTATTTTNAACATGTCTTTTTGATATCAAAGTCAATAAAAGCAGCATTTCCATTAATTGTAGTTTTATTTTCTTAACCCACTAAATATTTTCAATTGGTTATCATCATATGCATAGCTGAGTCTCAAAGTGATTACAATAAGCAAACTTCACTGTATATAAATTTAACTAAACATTTTACCTATAAATTTTGCTATTATATACAAACATTTTAAAATTTACAATAAATAAATTTATTAAAAACATAATTTCAAATAATGATAGATTAATTATTTTGTTACTTACCTAATGTTGTTCTTTCTATGCTTTTTACAGGTCCAGAAATATCATTTTTAAATGCAAATATTTTGAAAATGTAAGTTGTTCCAGGTGAAAGTAAATCAACTGAACAGAGAAAAGTAACTTTTTAATGTTTGGTTTATTATGAAAATTATATTTTTTTATATTAAAATACAGAATATTTTTGTTAACTCAAAAACAGACAGTACCTTTTACATTGTTAGATGTAGTATTTATCTGCTTCCAAGGCAAATAATCATTTTCATAATTTGGATGATACAATAGACAGTATTTATCAACTTTATCAAAATTGTTTTTCCAAGAAACAACAAGAGAATTAGCTGTTATATTTAAAACACTAAGATCTTCAATTGGACTAGATATATAATCCTTATCAAATTCCAAGTAGACTGGTGGAGAATTTCCACTTTCCAGATTACCAGATAAAGAAGTTACCTATAAAATATATTAATTACAATTAGATTATATAGAAACTATAAAAATAAAAAATTAAATATTCTAATTCTCCTAAAGTATATCAACAAAAATAATTTCTACTTTAAGCAGACTTCACTGTATATAAATTTAACTAAACATTTTACCTCATACATCATAATATATTAAATTTTGTTTATGATTTACAAAGTTTTAATAACAGAAAGTTAAAGTTAAATTATTCTTTTCACAAAAGTGCATCTGAATCAAGGATGCCTGCAGGATTTTACCTCAGAAAGTTAAGTATATATATATTTTTTTATATCAATTAATCAAATAAGTGACTAATAAAAACTCATGTTCCTTAAACAGGTTTCTATCTACTCATACAGAAACCTGTTTAAGTAGACAAAAACTCTGTACTATCTTCATCTAGCTGAATGAATAAATAATAAATATGTACAAAAAAACATTAAAAAAATCCAGCGATGAGTTGCTTAACTTTTCTGGCAACATTTGGGGTGGCATCTGTTAAAATATTTTATTAAAAACTTTTTATATTTTTAATTATTATAAAATGGCAAATATTTTAATTTTTACAGTAGAGATGACTTTTTAAAAAAATATAAATGCTAATAATGAGTAAATTATTATTAAGTCAGACCCTACTAGAGATATGACACAATCTCCTTTATCTCCCCACCTCTTTAACATTTAACCACCAAAATTTAATAGCATCAATCTCTGTAATAAACAAACCTTCCTGCAAAATTTCAGAGAATTTTGACAAAAAGCACAGGAGTTATTAAGCTTCAAGCTTCAAAGATGAACAAAATCATGCCCCATACACACAAACATCTATACTTACAGAAAAAAACCTCTGAATTTTTTTTGCATTTCTTGACGTTTCAAGGAAACCTGAGTCCAAAAATGCAAAAATCTTGGAGTGTCATTTTTTGACTGATCACCATATTTTCCTTCTGTTATATATAACAGAGCCTGGAGAGTAATAAGATACCAATAAAAACCTGAACTTCCCTACGATATATGATGTCTTCCAAATAGTATAACATCTCCATATAGCTTAAATTAAAGAACTACAGTAAAAAAAATCATTTCATCATGCATAGATTATAGTTACTTCAGTGTATTGACTATTAAATAAATTTACTCTTACAAAATAGCTTTGATTCATATTATATTACAAAAATAAATTATTGTACACATACATTTTCAATTGAAATCAGAAGTATGAAAATTAAAATTTTTCTTTCAAGGAAAAAATTCACAAATAGAAAAAAAAAGCAATTCATTAAAAATGTTTAATTTCTCAAATTTAAGTTTCTGAAAATTCAGATTCCACAAAGCTACAAAATATTAATTCATTAAAAAGTTTATGCTTTGAATTTTCAAATTATTTTGAAAACTTATTTAATAAAGAAAATATCAAAGTTAATGCCTTAGTAAAATTTCAAGTGTTATAAGATAATTTTTAAATATTCTAACAATCTACAAATTAGCACAGAACTGTTAACACAATATATTTGTAAAAACAATTACACATTAAATGATTGTTATGATTTATCTATGTGATCTTGTCATTATACAGGGGGTGCAAAAGTAGGTAAACAGTTGAGAATCTGAGAAATACAAATGTTTGGTGTTCATTATTATTATTTATCTTTTATTAGTTCATATTCCTTATTTGTGATTTAATTTGTACACAAGAAAAAATGTTTTTTCTTCCTATTTTCTGCCTGTATGTTTATTTTTTCAATAATAAAAACTGTATACCTACTTTTGCACCCCTATATATTAAAATTTCTGCCAATAAATTAATAAACATTATTTCATCATTTAAAAAATATCTTTTCTGTAGTTGTATAAATATTAATTTCTTTTTATTTTTCTTACACTGAAACTTAAAATCCATATAAAATTAAACATTTATATATTATGTTATAACTTGTACATAAATTTATAAATTTTTGGAAATTTTTTCATTAATCAGTCATGGATTTTGNAATAAAGAAAAGATTTTCTTTTAAAAAAACAATGTTAGAAATAAAAATTTGATTAAAAATAATTAATACTAAAGGCTACAAAATATACTTCTACTAGATGTAATATTATGACTAGCAAGGAAAGCAAACATAATTACTTTGCTTACTAGTTTTATTTAAAAAGTATTATGAAGTATTGTTGCAAGGAAAATGAACCACAAATATTGTACTGCAGTGTTAACTTTAATATACTACATAAGTATAAATATATAGAGAGGATATTATTACATTTTTTTTATTGAATCATTGAGTCTCATTATTGAATTTTTTATTGAAAATGTAAGAGATATTTAAAAGGATAATGTTCATGTGGTCACTTTCAATGAATAAAAAACTAAAATCATCAAAGTATATAAAAAAAAATACAATATGACATAGATAATGTTCTGTCATATTAAGTATGTTGCCATGATAGTCTTCCAAATGACTTTTCATCCAAAACTGAATGGAACAGTATACAGTCGACCCCCCTATAAGATCATTGATTTTTCCGTTTTATCTGAATTACATGTTGTACGAGTCACTTAGATTTTACAAATACATGTGCCGGGCTGTGAACGGCTCACATATTTGTAAAATCTAAGTGACTCGTACAACATGTAATTCAGATAAAACGGAAAAATCAATGATCTTATAGGGGGGTCGACTGTATAGTAAATGCTATTGAGAGTGCCTCATTATTTGTGTGTCTATTATGTAATGATTTCAGAATAGTTTATGCTGCATATAAAATTTGTGTTTCATAGCTTTCCACAAATATATACATATTTATTATACAAATGTAATATCATACCCAAATGGTATAATTAATTCCTGGAAGAAAATCATATTGTAGTACTGTCTGAGTTGGAATTATTTTATTTAGTAATTCTATATGTGGTGGTGTTGGAGGGAGAACATAAATCTGAAAAAAAAAATTCATATTAATAAGCTTTTCATTTGTAATTTATTTTACAGTATAATTAATTATAATTAATAAATGCAATTAAAACAAATACATCCTTTATAGCTCTAAATATCTAATAACTAGATTAAACAATGTTTCACAGTAAATTAATTCTTTATGGTTATATATACAGTCGGTCCCCCTATAACGTGGGTTCATAAAATGCGGATTTGTATATCACAGCAAAAAAATTGCGACTGTATTCGTATAAAGACACTAAAAGAGACTCATAAAATGTGGTAAAACGTCATCGCTGACTCATGTCGTGACAGGATTGGGAATCTGGACCAATAGTGGACGAGCAGCCAAACTACTTACATGCTACGAAGAGTTTAGGTAAGTTGAGTTTACTATCATCTGTACAGTATATAAATTAGGTACTGCAATTTTATACATTTCTTGTGAAAAAAACATTTCTTATTCAACGGCCATAAAAATTATTTCTATTAATGATGTCTCCAAAGTTCAACGAATTTTTCGCAGAAAAATAACTTATCAGAAAATGTGCCCGCTGTTTGGTGCACTGCTCCGTGACGAAAACAAGCTTAAGCAATTGCGTCGTCGAATGGTGCACACTCGGTAAGTAATCCTACAATTTTTTGTTTATAGCATAGTTTATACAGATTATTCCCAAAAAATTATATGTGTTTTGTATATGTTGAGTCAAATTAGTCTAGAATTGATTAATTTTATGGAAGAAAATCTTTCAAACAGCCTAGTCCGTAAACTGCACATATGCTGCGCTGTGATTGCTCATATATTTAAGGATTCCTACAATGTGAAATTCTTATAAAGTGGAACGTATTTACTGCGTTATGGGGGGTCGCCTGTATATATATAAAAAACTTCTTGAATAGATAAATAATAGGTGAAAAATAAATTTATGCAAACTATAACCATTAAACATTTTTAAATAAATATAATTTACAATAGCATATAATGTACAACATAAAATTGTAAATATTAGTAAACTGAATATCTCATTGATATTTACTGCTTGTCTGAATTAATACTGTTTTATTAGTTTTAATTTGAGGATGTGCAAAAATACAAAGACATTATTCAATAAGACTTATTTTCAACTATTGCTGAATTAAACAAGGCATTGAATCATTTAACACACTACTTTAAAATATTACTTGATATTAATTACAGACTAGCATGTAACATACATTTATATCCTAACAATATTATAGCAAAACCCACAAAAATGTTACAATAAAGTTGATCTCATACTTTTGTCGAGGGAAGTAGTGGCTTATGTAAATTTGAAAGCAGCTCGGATAATTAATTTTTAGAAAATTTACAAATGTATTATACTGTTGATGGTAGAAGATTCCACAGAATAGCAAACCTATCTTAAGATAAGCTGTTATGAAGGCAAATATATGTAAATTCTATACGCACTTCGCATCACTTGCTAAAAAATTGAATAATTAAATAATTTCTGTATTAAAATTGTCTATTTCTTTACATTATTATTTGTAAATGCTTAAATAATCATCTATACTAATATTANTATGTAAATTCTATACGCACTTCGCATCACTTGCTAAAAAATTGAATAATTAAATAATTTCTGTATTAAAATTGTCTATTTCTTTACATTATTATTTGTAAATGCTTAAATAATCATCTATACTAATATTATAAAGAGGTTATGTATGTATGTATGTATGTATGTATGTATGTATGTATGTATGTATGTATGTATGTATGTTTCTATGCAGCAGGTAATCTCCGAAACTACTCATCTGATTTCAAAATTCTTTCACCAATATTTAGAATGGAACTTCAGGGTGGACATAGGCTGTATATTCTGTTAAACATTCATATAAATTAAAAGATATAATCTAGGTTAAGGCTTTTATGTCCAACAGATGGCGCTACGAGTATGACGCCCTAAGTTTGCTTTTCTATGAGGCATTACGTTTTTCTGTGAAAATGAACTAAAGCGGATCATCATCTATCTATTTATATAAATAAAAATGTAATGTTCGTTTGTTCCTACCGATTCCTTTGAAATTTTGACACAACACTGCATTCGAATACGCGCGTGTTTTTATATAATATACGTGTCGAAATTCAACCCCACTGAAGGAAGATGGTTAGGATCAAGGCTTACCGTAAAGAACTCTGCTTATACTTATACTATTTTTAGATGTGGGTTTTTGCGTTTTTGATTGCGTTTTAATAGGGTAGGTCAAGAGAATGTACACTAAGAAGAAATTTTTCAAAAAATCCCCCCATGGGGGAAGTGTTATAAATTTATAATAGATATATTTTGAGCCACAACAATGCGTGGCAGGGTCTGCTAGTTATTTTAATAAAATAAGTCATAATTTTAACCCCAAACACAAAAAAAATGAAGTTTAAACCAATCTTCCACTCGCCATGCTAGACGTAGTGAATGCCATTATCGACCATCTAGAGTTGCCAGATGGCAGTGCTCAACCACCTGTCATTCATGCTTTGGGCTGAAACATGATGGCCGCAACCTCTCTTATAACTATGCATGAATCATCACAGGATGGCTTCTGTGATGATTCATACTTAAATTAAAGAATATATCATTATCATTTAATGTAAAAATTTTTACAATAATTTATCAGTTTAGCATTGTATGACAAGTTACATGGTAGACCAATTTAATTATCTGCATTATTTAATTTGAATTTTCCAAACTACATAATAATAATTATTAATTCAATCATAAAATGTTTTATTTTGTGTGCTAGTGTGCAATAAAATTCTGTATGTTCTGGGAAAATTTTGAGTCCTGAAAATATTCTGCACCTTTGTAAAGATATTCTTATATATAAAGACAGTTTTATAGACTTTCTTGGGAAGAATTCATATATTTATGAATTATGTCATACCAAGAACTATCATATAACATCTATAAAACTTATTATTGTAAAATAAATTTTTTCATTTCATTTCATGCAGTGAATTTTGAACTTCATAAATTTGGTTATCTCTTATATAATATGTATATAACTTTGAAATAATAGTCTAAATTATATACTAATGTAAGCATGCAATAACCCAATTTTTCAATTAAGACCAAACAATCTGCTCCATTATATCAGGCAGGGTTCAATAACCTTGCCTGATATAATGTAGCAGATTTTTATTTGTATACAGGGTGCATAGGAAAGTCTCTTTAACTGGAAAATTCATGCAAACAGAGAAAGCTACAGCTATGCAAGTGAGATAACAGTATAGTAAAGCGACTACGCCCGACCCAATGCAAACAACAGCAGTGCCCCTAGTAGCGAAATTTGGAAGGTAGGCAGTGCAAATTGAAAACAAAAACAGATAGAGCAAACTTTCCAATTAGAAAGTTTTAGAGCATCAATTAATTAGTATGAAATGATGTGTGGTTCACATGGATAAGATAAATTGTTGCCTGTATACTCAAAAATGTTCAAAAGCAATGCATGCCATTTTGTGTAAACATTTAAAAGGAATAGCCATATGTATGAAGAAATACACACAACTTATTGCATAAAATACATACTTACGTCAATACAGTTTGATAACAATGGCATGTATCATGAGAAATGGCAAACTTTTTGCACATACTCGATATTAACTTGTTATCACTGTGTGACAGTTTGCCTTTCTGTTGTCTTTTGTGTGATTTTATCAAACTGTATTGACATAAGTACGTATTTTATGCAATAAATTGTGCGTATTTCTAACCTATGGCTATTCTTTTCAAATGTTTACACAAAATGGCGTGCATTGCTTTTGGACATTTTTGGGTATACAGGCGTCAATTTATGTTATCCGTGTGAACCACACATCATTTCCTACTAATTAATTGATGCTCTAAAACTTTCTAATTGGAAAGTTTACTCTATCTGTTTTCATTTTTGATTTGCACTGCCTATCTTCCAAATTTTGCCACTAGGGGTGCTGCTGTTGTTTGCATTGGGTCGGGCATAGTCGCTTTACTATATCGTTACCTCACTTGCATAGCTGTAGCTCTTTCCGTTCGCAAGAATTTTCCGATTAAAGGGACTTTCCTATGCACCCTGCATATGCATCAGCTAGGTAAAGCAACAGCCAGCTGAATGCCACGAAGGACCTATTAAGTGAACACTTAAATCATCTCAAGTCACCACAAGTAACCAGGATGGCTATATAGTCAACTTGTGTTAATACTAGGGAAACAGTAAGTAGTTCGCTTTAATGAAAACTGGTATTAATAATTTTCAGAGTCAAGGTCATATAATTTATGGACTTAGTAGATTTAAGGCTTTAAGGCTTAGTAGACAAGTGAAACCGCTAAATTATATTTTGAATTAGCTTACTAAATAAAGTTAAATTTATTTACAAAAATAAATTAATAATGTAAATGATTTTNTAATAATTTTCAGAGTCAAGGTCATATAATTTATGGACTTAGTAGATTTAAGGCTTTAAGGCTTAGTAGACAAGTGAAAACGCTAAATTATATTTTGAATTAGCTTACTAAATAAAGTTAAATTTATTTACAAAAATAAATTAATAATGTAAATGATTTTAAAATCAAACAAAATGAGGAGAAGATGGTATTCTCTGTTTAAGTATGGAACAGTATAACAGAGTGGTTAAACAAAGCCAAGAAAAATCTATGATTTTTTTTCTGTTGAAGATTGTTTGAAAAGTATGAAATATTTTTTGATGCCAAAAGAGTAAAAAAGGAGCCAGATTTGGTGCAAAGTAGCCAAACCTGGCATCATTGTATGCTCCTTGAAAAAATCATGGATTTCTTTTAGCTTTGTTTAATCACTCTGATATACTGAGTGCTCCATACTTAATTAAACAGAGAATACCATCTCCTCATCATTTTGTTTGATTTGAAAATCATTTATATTATTAATTTATTAGATTATGCCAGGTAAATTTCACAATGATTAAAATTACAATGATGCCAGATAAAATTTAAGGATGTCCACCCTTTATTCTTAAATTTTAATCCTTACTTTCTGAGTATAGTAGAATGGTAACTAAAGCCAGATGTTTGAATTGCTTGTTTGATCTCCAATTGTAGAGCAACTGGAGATCAAACAAGTCTTTGCTTACTAGAAGAAAATTACTCTACTCAAAATAGAACATTTATTACAGTATCATTCTGCTTTTTACACTTTTTGACATGAATAATAAAATCATTATTGGAAATAGGGTTATTTCTTGGGGGTTGTGAAGGTAATTCACAGTTTGATTTAACAAATTCTGGTAAAATTTTTGCTTGCTTTATCGCATAAATTAATGTTGTTGTGACAATGGCATAATTCACTTTGTTCATGTTTGCTTTAAGACAAGTAGACTGTATCTAAATTATTAAGAGTTCTGGAGGCAAAGATTGGATGAAGGTCTATGCATCTATATGGTAAGCAGGAGTTGTGGATTTGAGCCCTATTCTGGTGTCGGGATAAAAATCGTCTGTCATGCGATTTCCCGCGCTTTTCCATTCGTTCGACGAACGATGGTTGTCGCCATAGAAACGGCAATCGGACCACTTTTGAAGACTCGACCGCTGATTGGTTGAGAGACATCGGACCATCGGCGGACGTTTTGTAGTGCTACTAAGTGCTGATTGGTGGAAGCCGATTGACTTCAATCCGTATAAAAGGATTGAGTTGTGGCGGAAGTTCAGTTTGCCTGGAATACATCTATGAAACTCACGTTTGTCTAAGTTCGCCTTGGACGCATGAAGGAAACTCATGTCTGACTTTAGTTCACCTAAGCTGGCCCCGAAGATTGTTTCGTCTCGTGCTGTAAATGACTTTAGAATTAGTTCGTTGCAAGGTGTCTTTTCGACGGACCTGTTGTAGTAGATAAATGTGATGAACTTTGTTAACATCTGACGTTTTGTAAATGTTTGTTTTGTGACTTTTGTAACTGTACATACGTTTATTTTTCAATATATATATAAGTTTTGAATTTAACTGGCGTATATGGTGTTTTGAACTTGACTTCTGGGTCAATTATTTTCTTCCAGAACTTTCTAGATTAAATATTAATTTATTTATAATTAAAAAATTTATCAAGGAATGGCACCTAATATCCACCTCTAGGCAAAATTATACTTCAGATTTAATTATTAAATAGTAAGTATATTATATCCCGATATAATCCTGGCAGAATATTTTCTGGCTGTAATAGTTTAAATTATAAATATCTAGTCACCTGATGTGGAATATGATATTTTGTTAACAAATTTGTTTAATTCTTCAAATTATTCTTCACTAAGTACTGCTGTTATCAAATTAGTGTAAAAACTTTAAATCCATGTATTTCACAGTGTTAAAATGACATTTTATTTAAAATTTTGACATTAAAAAATTAATGTTTTATAAAAAGTACATTTTAATTTGAACATTATGGAGAAAGAAAAAACAAAGTAAATTCTCACTAAATTAACCTACAACAATCTTGAAAAACAGAGATAGATTTTACCTTATATCCTGTTATAACTTCATGAATTTGAGGTGCTGACCATTTTACAAATATCCTTTGTCCTTGCTGTTGAGCTGAAAGATTGCTGGGTGCAGAAGGTGCTATAAAGTTTTCAATCACAATTGCATAATATTATAATTAGGTAGAGAAAATATATGTAATAAAATATTAATTTTGAAAACATTTTTATTTTTAATACAAAAATAAATCTGAATAAAATGAAATAAAATTTAAACTAAAAGCAATTCTTTATTTTTGAAACAGAAATTCAAACATATACATACTATATGATTGTGACATATTTGCAAAATATATGTCAGTATGTGTCTATTATTCTAAAATCAATCTGTAAGATTTGAGAAATCTTAAACTTTTCTCAAGAAAGCAAGATCATGCAATTTATAAAGAATAATTTCAACTTTTTAACAACACACAAAATCTATCTACAAAAGTCAGAAAAATACTTTTAATTTCTTATTTGTTTTCAGGAATATATTAGCATCATCAGAAGTTTTTAAGAAAAAAAAATTACCTAAGCTATATTTCAGTAATATAATTTGGAAATTATATTTTGTGAATATAGTATTATTCAAAAGTCCTTTGATAATTTCTTTTTGGAAAACCATAAAAAGGTATATGGAAGTACATTGTAAACTGGGATTAAAAGAGAAAATCTGAAAATTTTATTTATACTAAAAGAACCTGTACTGTGGCAAGGTGCAGAGATAGGTCTCTAGCATCTACAGGCGATTCACCTCTATTCTGTTAGCCTCCCAGGTTATTAAACATTACTCCTGTGATTTCTTCCTCTGAAGTATCCTCCTAGGTATGTTCCACCATTGGCAAAGGATTTATTTATTCACATTTAATCAATGCATTGCAACAGTCCTTGAATGTTTGAACCCAATATGCGAAAAAAGTATAGCAGAAACTTGGATATGTATCATATAGATGCACACATTGAGTCTTTGTACTTTTACAATGTGTATAGTATAAAACTTCCAGATTTTCTCCTTCAATCTTGACTTCTTGGGTATTGTTATGATTTGCAATTTTTCAAAGAAAAATAAAACAAAGTTGTCAAGGAACTTTGCAAGATTACATATCTAGATCATCTTACCCATTGTTTACCACAAGTCTAATCAGATTCTCACAATTAAAAGAAACAACATTTAAGAAAGAGATGAGAAATAAGATCGTTTTGCAGAAAAGAGAGGTGTTTTTATTAGACCATAAGGACAGAGTCCTTGCAAATCATTGAAATGTTTAGTAATTTGACAAGGATTCTATAATATGCAGTAACTTATTATGATAAAAAACTTTTAAGAATAAATAATAATGTAAATATGAATTTACATATAAAGCAAACTTTTAGGCTACTTGTTTGTTTATTCTTAAACATCAAACAAGTATAAACAAATTTTACATTAAAATTAACAGTTATATTTTATATAAATAAATAGAAAAATGAATTTAAAACACTTTTATTACCTTTGTTTTCTGTTATGACTGTTATGTAATCAGAACTGTGAGAGATGTATGAATTGTGTACAAATTTGACATCAACTTTAACTCGATACTTTCTTCCAGGAAAAAGTCCAGAAAATGTATAATTTGTATTTGAAGTCCAGTTTTGTTTTTTCCATTCCAAATTGTCAAAATCACTACATTAAAAAAAATTAAATACTTTTTTTCCTAACATATACTATTATATGAAGCATACAATTACATAATGTTGTAAATGTCAAAAAACAAATTTTTCAGGAGAGGTAAAAAACTTTTTCTAGTGAATAAATTCATTTCAATAATATAATAAAATAGTAAAAAAGTCATCAGGCTACAAACTCTCTGGAATACTGAAATGGTGTAAATATAAGCCGTAACATTTTAAGTGCCACTATCACCACAATATTTTTTTTGCCTCAGAAAACATTGCATTTAAAATTCAATTCTTCAATAAAACTTTTAGGAAAAAATGGTATTTACAACATTATGGCATTGCACGTTTCATATAATTTTAACAGAATTAAAACAAATTTCATTAATAATAAATAATGCTACATTAAATTAAATTAGTTATTGATATAAAATACAGTAGAGCATCGATTATCTGACTCAGTTGGGGACTGGGGTTGGTCGGATAATTGAAAAGTCGGATAACCAAAAAGTATGAAAAAATCCATTATTAGTGTAGTATATTATTATATCCCATGTAATTAGTATATCGCTATTAACCTACTTTGCGTTGAATTTTCCTCCAAGTTAAGCTTATCAAATTTTTTTTAAAAATAATAATCGTTGCTATTGTATCATAAAAAATTAGAAAATTAAGCCTCGTTTAAATACTGGCTCCCTTTCATGGTCGATCCAGTGTTGCCAGCTAAAACAAGTAAAAAATAATATTAAAGTAGCCAAGACGTAGCCAAATATTGTAACGCCACATAACTAGTGGACATTTGAATTTGCCGACTAGAACGCGGTCGGTTAACCGAGGTGACGGTTAATCGAGGATTGGATAATCAATGCTCTACTGTAATATTCTATTGTCAAGTAGAAGATATCAAAATAAAATCACACAGATTTTATAGTAAATGGCATTCACTCATGAGAAAAACTAATTCAAATTTTGTGACACTCCATAATTAATATTTTTCATTTTGGATTCAACTTACAATGTAAAATTTCAATAAGCCATTAATTACATTTAATCATAAGCTGAGAAAATTATTATTTGTTAATAAACTACAAGACACAGTTGCAAATGTCATCCCTCTGTTATGAAGACAGTAACAAACTTCATTAATAATAAAGTTTAGAAATTCACAAATCCAAGATAAAACATTTTTAAAATATTACAAAATACATTAAAATTGAAGAAAAATATAAAATAAAATATTCTGATGCCAGATGAACTTAAAATAATTAACAATAATTTTTTTATTTTTATAATGCATGAGATTATTATCTTTTGCTGTTATTATTATGAATATTATATATTTAAAAAAATGTAACCTCTCCCTAATTAGATTTACCAAAATTTAGTAATTAGATATATTATTTTTAAATAAAAAAAGTTATCACAAATCTGAAATTTTTTCTTTTTTTATGACAATGTTTTAAATGTTAAGAAACTCTTCAGAAACAGCTGATATGTGTTTGTAATTAAATATGTACTTTAGCTAAGACCAATTACCATAGAACAACATTTTTGAAATTTTAAGTGTTCTAATAAAATTTATATATAAAGAAAAGATTTAAACAAATAACACACCATCAACTGCCATAAATTATCGGGTTATAATTTGGCAATAATAATAATAATGTCTCTCCCGTGATCACCACCTGGTCGTGGTGGGAAAGCCCAGTAATTTTACTGAACCATAGAGCAATGCAAGCTGGAGCACAAACTCCTGGTAGGGACACCCATGCCAGTAAGGTCTATGAAGAGAAATGAAGCTAAGAGTGACCACACCCACATTCTGTGGAGATAATTATTATGGTAGTAACCAGATCTAAGTATGATACCGGCTCAGACGTCGCCCAGATTAACAAGGTCCACGTTTGTGGGTTAGGCAGAGACTCACGTTCGAAAAATAGGCCACAGTCTCCCTTCGTTACCAGTGGCAAAAGCAGCATCGGCCCAAGCATGGCTACTGCAATGCCCTCAACAGATGTGAGGAATCAACCTAGCCTTGGTGTTTCTGTGGCAATGCATCCACAGACCACAAAGGCTAAAAAACCACGCCAACGGATGAAATGGACAACAAAAATGAACGAGTTTATCATCCGTACTTACTACACCATCACAAGACTCGAAACAAACATGACAGCATACAGACAACAACTACACCATAGATTCACACAACAATATCCTCACTTCACTGTCACCGAACAAAGGGTTGTTGATCAAAAAAGAACAATTATACACAACAACCTTATCTCACAAAAAACACTTGAACTTATCAAACAACAGGTTGCTGATCAAATACATCAACAGACAGAAACATTTAACATTAATGAAGATCACATAACCTGTCAGGATAATACAGCAACAAGCATTGATAATAGTACACATACAACAACTACCATTAATGATACTACAGACACTTCCTCATCCACCACTGATAACATAGATATAGATTTAGTTAATACACTCTCACTTATATTTCAGGAAACACTCACTAAATATACAGGTACAGATCCCACACAAAGACCACGAATACCGAAAATCAACACGTCAAAGGCAGTAGGAAAAACACTAGATTATGTAAACACTCACTTACTACCAAACTACATTCATTCAATTTCTACACTCTCAGACATTCATACATTAGTTTATGCTGGGGCAGTCACAGTAGTAACACACCATGGACTGAAAATACACTCACAGACAGACACACACAAAACACAATTCTATCACAAGCCTGCCTGGCAGAGAAGAATAGAAACACAAATAAATGACATTAGACAGCAATTAGGCAGGCTGACACAATACACTAAAAACAACATAACACCCAAATTAAAGAAACAACTCAAAAACATTTTCAAGAAAATCAAAACACACACAAAACATGAACATCACAACACACACATTACAGAATACATCGATACACTAAAACAAAAACTCGCAGCCAAAGCACGTAGACTCAAACGATACAAAACATGTACACTACGAAAACAACAAAATAAATTATTCACAAACAATGAAAAACTTTTCTACAGACAAATCAGTACCAAAACAAACACTGATACACAGCACAGTGGCACACCAACAGAAGAAGAACTCACAACTTATTGGTCTTCTCTTTGGTCCAATGCTGTTACACACAATGCTGATGCAGGCTGGATCGAGGAGGAGAACAGAAACTTGCACAACATACCAACTATGCCCTGTGCTGAAATAAACATACACGACATTCGCTACGCTGTTAACAGAACACACAACTGGAAGACACCTGGTGTAGACAACATTCACAATTTCTGGTACAAAAAGTTTACATCACTGCACCAGGAACTAGCTAAACATTTAACACACATCATCATCAATCCACAAGACATGCCAAAATTTCTTACACGGGGCATCACCTACATCAGGGATGAGCAACACGTGGCCCGCGAGCCACTTGCGGCCCGTTAAACATGTTTATGCGGCCCGCCAAGCATTTTTAAAATTGAATTTATTTTATTGACTTTCTCCCATCAATATATTGTTATAAAATTATTTATAATAAAATGGTAGTACATACTAAACCGAAACAATTTTTTGTGACGAGTTACTCACTTGTCGGCAAGTTGTTCAAACATCCAATACAAACGCACCGTGTCTGCGCAATTTTTTGCGACGAGATACACACTTGTCGGCGACTTGTTCAAACATGCAATACGTACGCGCCGCATCTGTGCTTGTTTGTGTTTGCTTCTGTCACACAGTCAGACTGGTAAGCTGTTAACTAGCAATTTTAGCAATTCTTATGTTTCTTAAAAGGCTTGAGTGCAATATTATTGTCAAAAAGGTAATAGAGTTTTTTTTATTCAAAATTAAGTTTCCTACAAATTTTTTTAATTTTCAAATTTTTAATCCATAATAGCATGTCGGAAAAGCAAACAAAACAATGAAAGGTTGCGGATGAGCACAGGCATTTTCAAGAAAAGTGGAAATTTGATTATTTTTTCACTTTCGTTGAAAATAAAGCTGTATGCTTAATATGCTCAGAGACTGTGTCGACATTAAAAGAATATAACATAAAAAGGCATTATGATACAAAACATGAACAACAATATAAAAACTTAACAGGACAACTCCGGATAGATAAGTTTAATCAAATGGAGAAAAACTTGGGAAAACAACAGGCTATTTTTAAAAATCAAGCTATTTTATCAAATACGGCAGTAAAGGCTAGTTTTGTTGTCAGTCAAATACTGGCAAAAAAA